CCCCCACAGCCACCCGTCTCTTGTCGCCGGACCCACCGGTGCCCCGAGTCCCCACCCACCCCCCGCTGCCGCCGCCTCCTCCTGCTGCCCCCTCCGGTCCGCCGCCCCACGACGACGCACTCTACTCACTCCGTTTGAAACGACCGACCGAGGGGGGGAAAAAAAGTAAATAACAAAACTACTAAGAGCGGAGAAATAAAGGGATTGAAAAATAGAAAGCAGGAGGAATTGGGGCGCGAAACAAAACAAAAATAAGCAAAAGTACCTTTTCTTTTTTCTTTTTCGTTTTATATTCATTGAAAGTCAAGCATACACTCGTCCGGGTTTGGGCCGTAGCGATGGTTTGTATTCATTGCGTCAATGGCATCCATGTCCTCCGGCTTCAGCTCAAAGTCAAAGACCTTGGAATTCTCCACAATGCGGTCCTCGTGCGTCGACTTGGGGATGGTGATGACGCCGTGCTGCAGGTCCCAACGCAGTATGACCTGCGCCGGGGTCTTTCCGTACTTGTCGCCGATGGCCTTCAGCTTGGGATCCGCGAGGAGGTTGCCCTGTCCGAGTGGGGACCAGGCCGTGACGGCGATATTCTTAGCCTTGCAGTACTCACGCAGCTCCTTCTGATTGTTGAGCGGGTGCAGCTCGATCTGGTTCACCATGGGAGGCACCTTGCAGTGCTTCAGCAAGTTCTCAAGGTGGTGCTGGTGAAAGTTGGAGACGCCAATGGCGCGAACCTTCTTTTCCTCGTAGAGCTTCTCCATGGCGCGCCAGGAGTCCAAGTACTTGTCCTTCCCCGGCCAGTGAATGAGGTAGAGATCGACGTAGGTCAGCCCGAGCTTCTTCAGGCTTGTCGCAAAGCCCTTCTGTGCCTGCTCGTAGCCCTGGTCGGCGTTCCACAACTTCGTCGTGACAAATATCTCCTCACGCGGGACGCCGCATGCAGCAATGCCTTTGCCAACGCTCTCCTCGTTCTTGTACACGGCGGCAGTGTCGACGTGGCGGTACCCGGCCTTGACGGCGCACTGCACGGCATGCACCGTCTCCTCGCCCTGGGCGGACTTCCAGACACCAAGCCCAAGCTGCGGCATGGCAACGCCGTTTGAGAGCTTCACAGACGGCATGCAAGGCATCTGGGAAGTGTCTCCCTTTTGGTTGTATTATTTTGTTTTGTGTGTATGTTATTTTGTCCAAACGGACCTTTTGGTTGGCTTTGCTGTATTTCTCTGACTTTGTGAGTTTTTTTTTTATATGTTTGCTGTTTTCTGTTTGCTCTGCTTGCTTGAACTATGGCCGTCCTCGCCGAGGGCGTGGGCGAAGGCGGAGGGGGAAGGAGAGAAAGAGAGACGTGCGGGACACGTGCGGGACACGTGCGGGGCGCGTCAGCCGGCGGCGATGTTCGCCCGCGCGCCAGCTGCCCCACCGGCCACCGAAAGGGCCGGGCAGACAAAAAAAGAAAAAAAAACAGAAGGGGGCGGGGACGGGGCAAAGGCCGAAGAAGTGAGGGAGAGAGAGGCGGCAGCCGCCGTCCGTCGCCGCTGTCTACACGTTGTTCTCTATGATGTCGGCGGTGTCCCCGTCGAGGCCCGGGAGCGGCTCCACCTCCGCCGGCGCACTCCGCCCCTGCGAGGCGACGCGGCTGAAGTCGTCCGTGAAGGTCTCCATCGAGCACATGTCCACGCCGCACTGCGTCGTGACGCGGAGCGGGACCCGCAGCTCCACCCCCGGAAACGCCTTGGCGACGTACGTGTGCACCTCCACCAGCCGCGCCCGCGTCTCCCGGACGCACTCCTCCAGGACGTCGACGTGGCAGTCCAGCCAGAGCGAGTCGTGCACAAAGTTGATCATGAACGCCTTCTGCCCGTAGAAGTCCCTCCGCACAAACTGACGAAACACGCGCCCCACCATCATCTGCGCCAGCTCCGCGCCGAAGCCCTGGATGGGGTAGTTCTTCACGGGCGGCAGATTCAGCACCACGTCCCGCGTCTTGAAGCTCATGCGAAGCCCGGTTGGGAGCTCCGCAACGAAGTGCGTGGGAAGGCCGGGGTTGCCCGCACGCAACGCGACGGCGCGGACGAGGCGATGGAACTGCGCGATGCCGGGGTACTCCTCCTCCTCCTTGCGGATGGAGGCCTCGAGGTCCTTCACCGGGATGCCGGTCGTCTTGTGCAGCAACGGCACCCCCGCCCCGTAGAGGCGCTGGAACGAAAACGTCTTGGCGGTCTTGCGCAGCTGCACGTACTCCGCGACGCCGCGCTGGTACCCGTCGTAAATTTCATCGTACGCAACGCCGCTGAAGAAGGATGCCCGCTTCACGTGGAAGTCGACGCCGCGATTCAGATCGGACACGAGGCGGCTGTCACCGCAGAGAAGCGCCAGCACGACAATCTCCAGCTGCGAGTAGTCCAGCTCCACGCAGCGCCCCTGTGCGCCAAAGCGGGAGATAAAAAGACGCCGCAGCGGCGACTTGTCGTCCTTCGGTATGTTCTGGCAGCTGGGGTACGAACTCGTCGTGCGGGAGGTCGTGGTGGCCGTGAGGTCGATGCACTGCCGCACCCTGCAGTCCGGGTGCAGCACAGACAGCCGTCCGCCGGGGTCGGCGTGAAGAAAGCGCGCCGCATTCCGTTCCAGCTGCTGTTTCTGAAGCAACAGCCCCGCCACGTGCAGCTGCATTCGATGTAGCGTCTGCAGCGTGTTCTCGTTGAGCAGCTTCCCCCGCAAGGAGGCCAGCTGCCGCGGGTTATCGATGACCTGCGACGCCACACCGGGCAGACGCACCACCGCGCGGTCCCGCCTACGCTCCAGCGGGAGAAAGCAGCCGGTGCCGGGGTACGTCACCAACGTCCGGGCGGCATGGCTGAAAACGGCATCCCGCTGCTTCGCAACCTCCCGACCGGCCAGCCCCAACGCGTTGACGAGAACAAACCACAACGTCTTTGCGTCCGTGTCGGCGCGATGCAGCGCACCCTCGGCCTCAACGTGGAGCCCCTCCACCAGGGAGGAGAGCCGCAGGGAGGTTGTCAAGATCTCCAGCACGCCGCGGTCCACGCGCGAGTTCTCCGTGGAGCCCTGCAGGTCGCGCTTGAGGGCCTTCAGCAGGGCGAGTGAATCGCAGAAGAGAATGCTGTCCATCGCCACCCCCTCGCGTTCAAAGGCGCGGCGGAGCAGCGGCTCGTCGAGGGCGAAGACGTTGTGCCCAACGAGGACGGTGACCTCATTGGGGTCGCGCTGGGCCTCGTCGAGGCGCAAGAACCGCGCAAAGGCGCGCGTCACCTCCGGCAGCCGCGGCGCCCCACGCACCATGCCGTTCGTGATGTGGTGGATCGCCATCGTCGCCTGCGGGATGGGCCGCTCCGGGTCCACGAGGGAGCTGAAGGACGTCCCCTCGACGGGGTCCCACGCGGCGACCTCGATGATGGCGTCCGTCGCGGTGTTCAGCCCGGTGGACTCGACGTCGAACACCACGAGCCGGTACTTCCGCAGCCCCGCGGCCGCGTCCCGCGCCAGGTGCTGGGCCACCCGCTGCGGGAGCCGCCCCGCCGCCCGCAACCCCCTCTCACTCGCAAACCGCTGCAGGTGGACATCCGCCGAGAGCAGCGAGAGGCTGCCGTAGCGGTGGCAGAAGTGGACGAGGTGCGAGGTCCACGCGGCGGACTCCGGCACGGCGTCCGTGTACCCCAGCGTGATGCTCCCGCCAAACAAAAACGCGCCGAGGTGCTGCAGGGAGTTCCAATCAAAGAGTCTTTGCAGGTCCGCCGGCACCTCGCTTGGGAGGTACAAACTAAGAGCCTTGTCAATGGCCAAAAGGCGATTGCGGACCGCCTGCGCTTGCCGCGCCGCCTCGGCCGCGTCAATGTGGATGCCGGCGCTCTCAATGGACGCCATGGCAAGAAGGGAATCCATGCGGTGGGCGAGGCAAATCACTTGACTCCGCTCACACGAGGTGGAGAGCTGCTCCCGGAACACGACGGACAACGCATCCACGGCGGCACTCAGGTAGTGTCGCAGAAACGCAAACGGCAAATCCACCGTGGCGATCCCGAGCACGGCGCAAGGCGGCGTCATGACGCCGTACTTCAAGGCAACGTCACGGAAGTTATTGCCGCCCGTCTGGCAACGCTGGGCCTCCAAAATGTACTCCGCCAGCATCGTGCACCAGACCCTTCCGCCACGCTTGAGAAAGCGGAGCAGCTCCGGGTCATCCCAGACTAAAAGCAGCAGTTGCTTGGCGTCGTGGCACACAAGCACGTCAAACTCGTCCAACGCGGGAAGTGTGAAATCACCCCGCGCCGCGTACTTCGTCCAGGGCTCCAGAACGCGGTGCTGGGCATCCATCAAGGCGGCGGCCACGACGAAGTTCACGGCGGCGTGCGGGTTCGCCGGACGCGTGTAGGCGGCAAACTCCGTCGCCACGTAGGCAATAAAGAGGTGCCGCTTGTACTTCCGCATCTCCGCCTTCTCCTTCGCCACGCGACGGTCCAGCGACAAAACGCCCAGCCACTTTTCCACCTCGGTGGCGGTCACACACGCCGCGGTCTCCTCGGCGCGGTGGGAGATCACTGGCTTTGCCTCGCCCTCCCGCAGCCGCTTGACGTGGTAGCTGCGGAGGCTGTTCCCGGCCGTGACGTAAACCTCGAAGAGGAAGTCCATGTCGAGGCCCCCCGACACCTCACGCAGTGAGGCCCAAAAACGGCTCGGCTCCGACTGGTAGACGCCGCGGTACTTTTCGCCCAACTCGGAGGCGAAGACCACCTGGCACTGGCGGCCGGCTTTTGCCATGGCGGCGCGGCAGCGCAGCAGCGTGGGGCGGTCAGTGCGATTTGTTGGAAGGAAAATAATGCGCTTTGAGTGCCGCTCCAGCAGACAGGCGAGGATGTCGGAAAGCATGCCCCGCGCGGCGTACCGCCGTTTTTGTGCGGGGTCCCACAGGACAATGTTGAGACCACGGGAGCCGGAGCGGACCAGGTGGATGACAAACACGTCGAAGCGCGGCACGATGAGGCGGTTAATCGTGCGAATGGGGTCCTCCTCGTCCATGCGGCACGCCAACGTGCGCAGGTACACCCAGTGGGCGCGGAACCATTGCTCGCTGAGCGGCGTGGGGGTGACCACGGCGTAGTTCGCCACCACCTCCCGCAGGGGTGGCGGGTCGGGGTCCAGCGCCGCGGCGAGCTCGAGGTTGTCCACGTGCAGCACAGGGAGGAGGCCGCTCTGCCGCAGCGTCGCCAGGAGCCGCTGGAAGTGCGGCGCAAGCACGTCCCGCTCCCGCTTGTGCGCCACAATCGGCAGCAGAATCATCTGTGTGAGGCCGTGCGTGTGCTGCATGAGCTCGTCCGCCGCCGTGGAGAGGTCGACGCCGCCGCTGGCAGTGTGATCGCCACCGTCGCAGTCACGCGCCTCCGCGCCGGCGGGGGGTGGCGGCCCCGCGACGACCACGACGCGGTCGCGTTCGATGGAAAAGAAGTGAAAGCGGCGGGAGCGCAGGTCGTACGACACGAGAAACACGGGGAGCTCCTCGCCGCGCCGCTGCTCCTCCTCCTGCACGCGCACCGCGTGGCTGTCCTGCTGCGTCTCCATGCCCCTCACCACCCGCTCGTAGTGCTGCCGCACACTTTCCGCCACGCCGGCGTCGAGCAAGACGGGCACGCGAAAAAACTCGGCGAAGGCCTCGGCGTCGTTGGTCAGCGGTGCCGCTTTCTGCAGCGCCGCCTGCGTGTTGAGAAGCGCCGGGAAGCTGAACGCGCGCCGCAGGCCACCCACAAGGCCCACCGCACGCGCCAATAACCGACGCATTCGCCCTCCCACCCCCACCCCTTTTTCTTTTCTTTTTCTTCCCCTGCAGGGCGGGGAGCCAAAAGGAAGCGAGGGAAAAACAAAGACAAGAAAAGAAAAAATAAAAATAAAAACCTTGCCGGGCGTGCGGAGGACAAGCGCACACAGACCGAGAGAGAGAGAGAGAGAGAAAGGCAGACACGTGCAATCAACGGGGAGAGGCGCACGGGCAGGGGGGGGAGCGGAGCGGCAGCGTCTACGGCACGGCGCAGACGCGCTCCCCCCGCGGACGCCTCTAGCCGCCGCCGGCCGGGGAACTTTCCCCCGGCGCCTCCGCCGCCCCCGAGAGCCGGTCGGCAATTTTATGCAGGCACGCGAGCGCCTCGTCGATGTCGCCGCACCGAACCGACGCCTCCCCCAGCAGCGCGTCCGCCTCGTACAGCAGCCCATCGCTGCAACCGAAGAGCAGCAGCGCGGCAGTGACGACGGCCTCCGCGACGTGCCCGCCCCCCGCGGCATCCGCCCCCAACGTACGCCCCAGCAGCCGCCTCACGTGCGGGGCGCACGCGGCGAGGAACCAGCGGGCAGAATGCGCCGCCGTCGCCTCCCAGCAGAGGAGGACGACCATCAGGTCCACCACCCGCACCGGCGCCCCGGCCGCGCCCTGCTGCAAGGCGAAGAGGGCGCGCATCAAGTCCCACTCCTCACTCTTGCAGCGCGCCGCACCGCAAACGCGCCGCGCTTCCTCGTCGCCCAACACGGCATCCCCGAAGCGGGACTCCTGGTCGGCGACGCACGACAGCAGCAGCGGCAGCTCCGCCGGGCTGTCGATGCGCCGCCACGCCGACAAGAAGGTGTCCAGCGGCGCGTGTTGCATGCGGGGTCCCCCTTAGTGCCAAGGAACAGTAGCAGCAGGGAGGGACAGAAGCGGGAGGTGGTGACTACAACAGCGTCGACAACAGCTGCGGAAGCGTCAAAAGGGAAAACGACCAGGACCTCTTCTTTTGTTTCTCCTCCCCCACCCACACACACACTTTTTTCTTTTTTACCTCCTTTCCATTCCCCTCCTCTCTCTCTCTTTCCCTCTCACACACACGCCCCCTCATGTTCATTAGTTTTTTATTGCTCCTTCTCTTTGGGGAAGCAGCGGCACGCGGGGAGGGGGTGATGTGCAGGCCCGCAGTCGCCCTCGCCATTACCCCCCCCCCTGCAGACCACAAAAAAAAAACAACAACAACATATACTAATCACCACTCGCGTGTCACCTCATGGCTTTGTCTCTTGCTCTTTGCTGTCGGTGTGCTGTGCCCCCAACCGCGCCGCGGAGGCCGCTCCTCCCAGGTGCTTCATCCGCTCCACCTCCTGCACCGCTTGCAGGTACGCCTGCGCCTCTTCCTGGCGCTTTTTTTCGAGCAGCATCGACTGTGCGGTCATGTGTCTGCGTATGGCGAAGAGCTCCTTCTGGCGCTGGTAGCAGCGGCTCATGCCGTAGAGCGAGCCGACGGTGACGGAGAACCAGAAGAAGACGTACATGGTGTGCACAATGGGCAGCAGATGCACGTACGTCACCTCGTCTGTGCTCCGACGCCACGGCCAGGCGTGCCCCCGCACGATCCGCTGGTCGTCGCCGGAGTAGTCCTCTAGCATCTCCACGTAGTAGTGGTGGAGGCCGTGCTGGGCAACGCTCGCCTCGGCGTTGGGGGCGCCCCAGCGCCGCTTGTAGTAGTCTAGCGCCATGTTCATCGGCCGCAGCGCCATCCAGGAGAGGTCGGCGGCGACGGGGCCCTCGTTCAGCGCGTTCTTTCCCCAGAAAAGCGAGCCTGACAGGAACTCCTCGCGGCGAAGGATCCCGCGCACGGTCGCCGTGGCAAATCCCTCGCCGATGTACTGCATCAGCAGCGTGCGGTGCCTCCCCGCGTCAATCGGAACCCAGCCGCGGTTCACCATGACGAACTGCTTCGTGCCGGCGATCTCAAAGGGCGTCACGACGAGAAAGCCGCCCTTGCTCTCGTCGTGTCCGGCGGTCCCCTTGTACGACGGGAGAGAGCGGGGACCCACCAGCACGGAGCCCTCGTTGTCGAAGACGCCCTCCAATTTGACCGGGAGGAACTCAAACTTGTCAACGGCCGTTTCGTCCGGCGGGAGCTCCTCCACGGCGGGCTTCAGGAGATTCTTGTGGTTCTCAAGCAGTTGCTTCTTCTCCGAGCGACGGAAGATTTGCCAGATGCCGGCGTTGAACGACACCACGGCGCTCGTTAAAAACATGACGCCCATGTAATCCGGCCTCATGGTTGCCCTCCGCTGACTACAGTGCAAGCGATGTATTGAACCCCAGACGGTAAAAAGGCCGTGTATGTCCCGCCCTTTGCCTTTTTTCCTCTTTTTTTTTTTGTGTGTACGTCTGTTACTTTGCTCCGGCGTATTTGTTGGTGCGCCAAGGCGAAAGCAGTCGCCCACAGCGAGAGAAGGAAGGAAAGGAGGGGAGCAACAGAAAGGGCGAAAACTGCGGGAGTCCCAAGCAATGAAACCAAACACGTCGTTGGCTATCCTAGAAAGCCCACTAATCGCGCAGGCGAAGAAGCAGAGACACGGGATGCGTGACTCACCAGGTGCATCCACGGACACGGGTATAACTACGCCAACAGGACGCGCAAAAACACAAAGATATGTATATAAGTAAACGTACATACGTATATAATGTGTGTATACATATATATACTGCATATACGTATGTCTGTCTGTCTGTCTGTATATATGTATATATGTGTATATGTGTATATATGTATGTATATCATTGGTAGGTGCACGCGTCAAGAGAGGCGGAGACGGCTTGGACGGTGCAGCGTTGCGAATTGCATCCTCCTTCTTCTTCTTCGCCGCCGCCGCCGCCGCCGCCGCGTAGGACAAGGCGGACGCACCATTGCGAGTTCATAAACAAGCCAGTCAGAGTCAGTGTACAGCACCGGCGCAGACGGTGCAGCCCGCCCACCGCAGCGCCTCACGGGCGCTCCGCCCGGTTGCACTGGTCCAGGAGGTGGTTCAGTTCGCCGTACAGCCGCTTCATCTCCACGAAGTTCCCGCGGGCCTCCTCGAGGGCATCGGCGTAGACGGCGCACTGGCGGTTCAGCCGGGTGAGCTCGTCGTGGAGCGCTAATATCGTCGCATGCTCGTCCCTCTCCCGGATGAGCTCGCGGCAAAAGTCAACCTCCAGCTCCCTGCGCTCCTTCTCTATGCCGTCGGCGGCGATGTGCAGCCGCTCCTGGTTCAGGCGCGTCCGCAGCTCCGCGTTCTCCTCCCGCAGCTGCGCGTTCCGCTCACGGAGCCGCTCCACCTCCAACTCCATTGGCTGCGCCACGCCGGGGAGGCAGAAGCGATGAAAAGGGAAAAGGGGGAGGAGGAAAAAAAACAAAGAAAGAAGCGGCAAAAGCGTGCAGGAGATGAGAGGCGCCCCCCCGCGCCTCAGAGGAGGAGAAGGACACCACGCACGCGCAGCAAAACAGGAGTGCGCAAGCCACACATGTTAATGCGTCGCGGCAGCAGCAGGCGCCCACAGCACCTTGCCCGCCAGGGGCTGTCCCCTAAAGGAAAGAGGGAGGGGGAAGGGGAAGCAGCAAAAAAGAAAAAAGAAAAAGGTGAAACACGGAGTCAAGCGTGTGGGGATACTACACAGTACATCGCCGCCCAGCCTCCAGCCCGCCCCCCGCAAACGCATAGAAAAATGTATATATACACACACATACACATGGAGAAAGGGAAGGAGGAAAGATGAGCGGGGGTGGGGGGGGAAGCGTGGGTCGGAAGGAGTCTCCAGCGCCGCCACGGAGGGAGGCCAACGGCAAGGACAACTCCCTCCGTCAAAGCCCCGCCCCCTCACCCGCTGCCGCGGCAACACAGGACCCGTAGGAAGCGGGGGATTCTTGTGTGGCTTACAGCAGAAAACAAAAAATTCCACAATACTGGGGGGTCCTTGAAAGGGCAGCTGGCAAGCAGCCATCAAAGGGAATGGGAGAGAAGAGGGAGAAAAAAAAGGGGAAAGTTGAGGAGACCCTCCAGAGGAAATAATCAATGCGGCTCGGGGCCCTCACTATTTGTAATCACAAGGCGGCGTAAGGCGGCGTTCTCCATGTCCATTTGGTCAGCGTAGCTGGACACCAGACGCAGGTGCCTAGCCATTGCCTGCATCAGGTGCTCAGCCAGGGCTGCTCTAGACACCTTCTGAGTGCAGCCGTAGCGGGCGTAGGGGCAGTCACACTTCACGTCCTCCCGCGAACTGGAGGGGGCCGGCGACGGAGACGTCCCAGCGTCGCTCTCGGCGCCCGCGTAGAGGCGCCTTACTAGCCTTTGCTGCTGGCCCTCTTTTCCGGAGGCCAGGCGCCGCTGCTGCTGCTCCCGCGCCCCGCGGGCCTCCCCGTCGGGCGATGGGGCCGTCGACGCCGATGACTCCGGGCGCCGCGGCGAGAAGTCGGCCCTGCGATTTGGATTTTTGGGGCAATCCGCCATGTGCGCCTCCAGCCGCGACTTGCGGATGTACCGAAGGCAAAAAACGCAAGCTACTTTCCTCATCTCACACCCAAGCTCATGGGAGATCACCGCGTGGCGGGGGAGTTGCACCCCGCAGTGGCGACACTTTTCTTTGCCGGCGACGCACTCCGTCAGCGTGTGCTTCTCCAGCTCGCTGCGAAGGACGTGGCAGGAGCAGAGCGGGCAGCGCACGGGAAACCTGGCGCAGCGACGGTTGTGGCGCGGCAGCTCCGCACGCAACAACCGCTCGCCGCAGTGCGGACAACGCATGGGGAATTCCCTGCACTCTGCAAAGTGCGCCTCAAGCTCCTGCTTTGCCATCTCCTGACGACAGTGCGGACACTGCGCGTTGAGGCGCAGACACACATGCTTGTCTCCAGCGAAGATGGGGAGGCCGCAGTTCTGGCAGGGCGTGGGGGCCTCGCGCTCCAGCTCCTCGCTAGCCGGTCCCTTCAGTTCCTTGATGCGGTGGGCGTAGCGCAGCGTGTTCAGCGTGTCCTCGCAGTGCCGCTGGCACGGGGAGATGTTGGCAATCACGCACGTTTTACATCGACCGACAAAACTCTCGCGCAGAATTTGCGTCAGCTTCGAGGCACGAAAAGGGATGTGCCGCTTGCGCATCGAGATGGCGCGGATGCACTCCTTCAGCGCCAGAAGCGACTTGTTGATCTCCGCCCCCTCGCGCCGCACTTTGACGTCGGCGTCGGCCGTGTCCGCGGCCCGCTCACTGCCGGCCAAGTCTACAAACGTCATCCTTCCGCAGGAGGCGGCGCCCTCGCGGTGCTGCAGGCGCACTTTAATCTCCAGCACCGCGTGCGAGCGCGAGCTCCGGTCGTTCGCGTGCGTCGTCCCGCTCGCCCGCAGCAGCTGCCCCTCCGACATCAGCTGGCTCAGCTGCTGCTCGCCCGCGATGTCGCGCTCCGAGAGGCCGACGATGTGGAGGTTGCGGAACTCGTCCTGCAGCATCCGCACCTCCGCGCGCCCGTTGAGGAGGTCGAAGAGCTTCACGCCGTACACCTCGTAGAAGCTGGCGGAGAGCGTGCAGGACGCGTCGGCCGCGAGGAGCTCGCGCACGATGAAGCCGTAGAGTCCCTGGCACTCCCCCGCACGGCCAAGCATCGTGTACGTCTTGCCGCTGCCTGTTTGCCCAAACGCAAACACGACGGCGCCGCCGCCGCCCTTCACGTCCTGCAGCAGCGGGCGGCAGCACGTCTCGTAGACGTCCGCGTTCGCCGCCGTCTCGTCAAAGACGTGGTCGAAGCTGAAGATGGCGGGCTCAATGACGGGCGTCAGGTCCACCTTCATCTTCGGCTCGTAGACGACGACGGTGGTGGCGGCCTCGCAGCGCACCACGTCGTTTTCCTCCGCCTCCTTGGGCATCAGCTTCGGCCGCTTGCGCACCGCCACCACGATCGACCCGGCCGCGGCTTCGCGGGGAGGCAGCGACATGACGCGACGCCTGCGCCCCCCCCAACGGACTGCTCGCCAATAAACCAAAGCAAAGAAGAAAAAATGGTGGAGGGGGGGAAAACAGGTTGAAACGGCGCGTGCAGAGAAGGGCAACATGTGCAGAAGATCTAGACGAGGGCGGGAAACACGCGCAAATTACGCAACGTGGCCGCATGCGCCAGAGAAGACGCGGGGGACGGGGCGCAAGGGGACGTTGGCCCACAGGCAACAGCGGGGGCCCAGCAGCAACGTGCGAGAGGCAGCGCCAGGGTGAAGGTACGAGGTGCAAGTGGGCTGGGTCCCTTTTAGTTTATTTTCCTCTCCTTTCGTGCTGCTCGCTTCGTTGCAAGCATCTGCCTTGCCTCCTCCTGCGGCCGCGTTTCCCTCCTCCTCCTCCTCCTCTCCCTCACCCCCAACAACAACAACGATCACTCGTCCTTGATGGTGTTCTTTGGCTTGGGGCTTTTGGGCACCAAAAAGTTGTCGGTCAGCGCCCAGCGACGCCGGGACCAGTACGGCCGCGCCGCATCCCGCATCTTCACGTCGTCCGCGACAAACGCCCGCGGGTCGTAGGACTCAAACATCGTGTTCGCCTCCAGCGCCTCTCCCTCGTGGCGGTTTGCCGTCGCACTCGGCGCCCGCGCGGGGCTCCCCAGCCGTTCGTCGACCACGCGGGCGCAGACGGTGCGGGCGGGCGGCGGCGGCGGCCTCCCCTGCTCGTCCACGTCCTCGAGGAAGAGGGGGATGGCGGGGTCCCAGTTGCGCTGCTCCGGCGTGCCGGGGACCCGCGGCAGCAGCCCGTGCGCCGCGTGCCGCTCCACCACCGCCCCGGCACGGATGAGCTGCACGAGCAGGTGGTCCTGGTGGTGCTTAAACGCAAAGCGGCGGCCGCTCACGCTGGCGGGTGTGCCGTCGGCAAACTCAAAGTCGGCGATCTCGCGCGTGGGGCCGTACATGCCGGGGCGCCCGCCGTGGCCGTGGAAGAACATCCACTCGGTGTGCGTCTTCCGCATGCGCGGCCGCGGCAGCGGGAACTCGGAGAGGGCGGGGGGGTACTTTGGCGCCTCGCCCGGGGCCGCCCACGGCGGGGCGGCGGTGCCATCGTAGTTTGACCGCGCCTCGGAGAAGGCGCGCGTCATGGCCACCGTCGCCGTCGCCGGTACGACCCGCGGCCAGCGGACGGCGCGAACGCGCATGCTGCTCTACAGCGACTACTTTCTACACTGCGGCGGGCCACGAGGGAAGGGAGAAACAGACGACAGTTGCCACGCCGCGCCCCAGCGCCGCTTAAGTGCCGTTCGCTGCGGCCCACGCGGCGGACGCGCCGACACCGCCGCGACAACGCGAGCGCGCACAAGAGAAGGGTGAGAAGAATAAAAGTCACACACACACACACACCGAGAGAGAAGGAGAGAGAAAGAAAAAAAAGTAAGCCCCGACGTCCAACCACTACGCTACGGGCGATTGCCGCCCGACGAGGTCGCTTAGCTGCTCCAGCGCAGCCACGCTCACCTCGCACCGCGCATCCCGCTCTGCGATGCCACTGAGAGCCCTAAAGGCCCTCACACCAGCCGCAGGGTCAAGCGAGGCGTGGCACCAGTGGCGATGCACGACGGCGCGGTGGTAGACGAAGGCGGCGTAGTTTCGAAAGTCGTGTCGCAGGCCCCGTACAGAGCGCTCAAGCACGCTGAGCCCATCCACGCCGGCCAGGAGGCAACGGCCGTGGTCGGAGACGGCAAGGGAAAGGCGGAGGTAGACGGGGGCCGCCTGGTGCCTCATCGACACCGGCAGCGACGGCAGGAGGCGCTGCCACGCCCCCAATCGCAGCCGCAGTGGCACTTGCTCGCATCCCACGACGCACTCCATCGCCGTGTTTGTCGCTGCGCCGTCCGTGGATAGGAGCCGCAGGGCGCACTCCCAGCTGGCGGGGAGCACCCTTGGAATAACGCGGCAAAGCAGGCCCGCGTCCCCACTCAGATCCCCCTGCAGACACGCCAGCGCCGCCTCCCACTCCGTGGGCGGCAGTGCATCCACCACCAGACAGAGCATCTTCACCGTCGCAGGCGTTCCCAGCAGTTGCTGCAACCGTAGCAGTTGCAGTGACTCCTGCCACCTTCCCGCCCTGCGCAGGATCGAGTGCGTCGCGTAGAACAGGCGTGGGGACGGGGGGGCGTTGCCATGCAGCACATGACTTGTCAGCAGCTGCAGCGCGTCGCGCCACTGCCGATCCACGGAGCGGGCGGAATCCAGCAGCACAAAGAGCAGTTCCGCATGCGTTTTGCTCAAGCGCCCAGCGGTGGCAGTGGGCGTGTCCTTCCCAACACCAATCAGTGCATCTGCCGCGGCTCCCCCGGCTGCGCGCGAAGCCACAACCGAATCGCCTCCAGCGGGACATCGGCGGAGGCGCAGCACGCCAGCAGCTCCGCGACAGACGCGTAGTGGAGAGGCATCCGCTCGGACACGGCCCTCTCGACGGTCCACAGCGCGGCCCGCCAGTGTCCCGCGTTGCGGGCGGCACGAATGAGGAGCGGCACCCACGCCGCCTTGCGCTCTCGCGCCACCGCCCGCGAGGCCTCCACCCACCTGCCGTGGTGCGCCAGCAGCCCCACAAGATCGCGCGTGGCACCGCCGCCAACCTGCGCCACAAGTGCGCAGGCCTCCACCCACTGCTTGCGGCGCACGAGGGCGGCCAGCTGCCCCCGTGCGGAAGGTGCCGTGGGCGGGGCTCGCCCCGTCGTCATCGTCATCCGCGCGAGGAGCGCCTCCACCGCGGCGTGGGCCTGCCGCGTGGCCGCCGCACGGGAGACAACACCCGCGTAGCACCGCAGCAGGTCCGGGCGGTGGCCCATGTGTTTGGCGCCGACCGCCAAGAAACGCAGGGCCGCCTCCCACTTTGCCGCGTCGATCTGCCACAGTGCGGGGTTCACCTCGGCCCGCAGCGACGTGAGGGAGGCGTCGGCCCACAAAAAGTCAACATTGGCGGAGAGGGGCGTCGTGCACGGCGCCGCCAGGGCCAAAAAGGCCACGTGCAGGTGGGCAATGGAGGGGGCCGCCATGCCGTGGAGGCACCGCAGCGCCACGAGCCACTGCCTGTTGCGCGGGGCGAGGGCGGCGAGGCGCGAGAGCCACACGCTGCCTCTCTCCGACAGCCGTGCCGAAAGCAAACCAAACGCGTCGGCGTGCTCGGGCCTTAGCATAACCCGCAGCACCTGCGCAGCCGCATCGCGGTGGCTTTCCAGGTGATCTAAAACAAACTGAACCAAGCACTCGCGGTCCCTGCAGTGGCGCAGGACCCAGTCCACGACGGCGCCGTCACCGACGCCAGTGCACAGCAGCAGCAGACTCCGCCCGCTGGCAGGCGGGAGGTCGTCCACCACAGGCGGGTTGGGGCCGCCCTGCTGCACGGCCGCGAACAGCGCCTCCGCCGCCTCGCCGGACTGCGCCGCCTGCACCACCAACAGCGGGAAGACGCCCGACGCAGAGGGCAGCGGGTGCAGCATCAACTCGCCCAGCCCAAGTCGCTGGCACAGCGCCACCCAGACCGTGGCCAACTCCACCGAGTCCGGTGGACAACGCCGCAGATGGGCGCACCACCACCGCACGTCCTCCCGCCGAAGGGCACCGCCGCGGAACTGCCGCGAAAAAAGTTCCAGGCACAGAATGGCATCCCTGCGCCGCAGCGGGGCGGCAGTGGCGACGGCGGCGGTGACAGCATCCTGCAAGCGCCTCCGCGTCGCTTCCACTAACTCTTCTTGGCAGCAACGCATCGCGGCTGCGAGGTTGTCCTGCAGGATGCGCCTGGGCAGCGCGTCCAAAGCCGCGGCGGGCATCGGCAGTTGGCGGCGGGAGCAGCAGTACGCAATCATCTCGCGATAAAACGGCTCCGACGAGGGGCTCGTTGACGGCACGTGCGAGAAGCACGTCGTCCACGGGCTGACGTGCGTGTGCACCGCGGCATCCACGTACCACCGAGCCACGCAACGGTCCGGTATTCCCTCGGCCCGCAGCGGGAGCAGCGCCGCTGGGCCCGGGATTCCCCGCGCCGCCTCGACGAACTGCAGGAGCCCACAGCGCAGCAAAGACGCACGAGACGCCGCACTCTTGTCGTCATCGCCCCCTTCTTCTTCGCTCTTGGCGCCCGTCTTCCCGCCACCGCCGGCGGTTTCCAAAAGAAGTGTGTGCAGGACGCGTCTCTTCACGATTGGGGAACGACCCGCGCGATCCCAGCGCCGGGCGCAGCGGAGCGCCTTCTCAAACTCCCCCGCCGCAAGCAGCACGCGAAGGACGGCCGCACACGCCATCGCCATCGCCTCCTGCTCCGCGACGGAGGCGGCCTCGCGCGGCGGCGTCACGTCGCGCGCCATGCGCCTCGCCACCAGTTCGTGTGGGGCGCCGGCCGCCGTGGACTGCGTGAGCGCCGTCAGAATGCAAGAGATGGCCGTGTGCCGCTCACGCAGCGCCACCTCCCCGCGGCGTCCTACCGAGCGCGTCGCCAGCGCGTCGGCGTAAAGGCCGGTCGCCACCTCCCAGCAGCTGGCGCCGCCAACGGCAAGCATCCGCGCAATCGTCTCCGCGGCGGCCCTTGACGAGGCGAGGCCTGGCCGCTCCCAGCGCTTGCGGTCGTGGCGGTCGTGGTGGTCGTGGTGAGCGTGGCGGAGAAGCCAACTGCGGGCTGTGCCGCGCCCGGCGTGCGTGGCGGATGCGGCCGATGTTCGACCCACATGCATGCGCGTCCGCCGAACGGAGGCAAACAACGAGGTTGAGGTTAAAACCGGGGAGACCCCCCACCCACCCACAACCACCACCAACCTGCACTCAACCAAACACAGCCGCGGCAGCAGCAGTGGCGGCTGGTCGGCGGGGAGACAGAAGAGGCGAAGAGAGGAGATGAGAGGAGGTGGACGCAGGCGGCGCCACGGCGGGACACAAGAAAAACAACAACGAAAACCGCGCCACAAGAAGCGGGACCAAGAACAACAAGAAAGCAGCAATGATGGCCAGTGACAGGGAAACAAACAAGGGGGGGGGGAACTCAGCAACTAATCACTGCTGCCAAGCCTTGATGGGTGCGCTGGAGTACAGTCGCAGAGCGTACTTTGCGTGGGAGGGCTCGGCGGAGGAAACCACCAGGACGTACGTCACGTTCGCCGCGAGCTTGACGGGCGGCAACGCCACTCCGTAGAGGGCGTACAGACCGGACGACTCGACGCGCTCCATAGTGGCGGCATCCCTCGGGCGGAAGAGCGCCAGGCCGGCGTAGACGTCGTTACTCGCGTCATCGGCGAGCAGCAGCAGCAGCCGCCCCGTCAGCACGCACGGGACGCTCGCCAGGAGGCCCACCTTGCCGTTGCTGGAGAAGTACGCATCGGCCCGCGGCAGCACCGTGGCCACCTCCGCCGCGACGCCGCCCGTCAGCTGCCCCTGCAGCTTCGTCTCCACAAAACCGACACCCTCCGGCACAATCTCGCGCAACGCATGCGGCCCAGTCGTTTCCACGACGAGCTCAAACGCCGCAGACACGCCCTTGTCCCATAGCGCCGGCACGACGGTGTAGTCTCCCGCGGGCAAAGGCGAAGGCGGCGCCGCCACGGCCCCCTCCTTCTTCTCCTTCGGTCTCTCGCCAAGTAGCCGACCGCGGTCGAAGGAGACGCACCTCCAGAGGCTTGTGTCCACCACCACACCGCCGTGGGCGTAGAGCGGGGCATGCAGGACGAGACTACACTCCTCGTTGACGGCGCCGACCCTCGGCGACCACTTCACCGGCTCGTGCGCCGGATTTTGTTCCCTCCGCAGAACGTGCAACTGCGCCGAGGCGTCGCAGTCCGGAACGTGCAGCCGCACGGAGAGCATGGACGGGGTGGAAAGCGTTAAAAGGTACTGTGGGTTGTAGGCAAACGTCTGCAGTCCGGTTCTGCCGCCACAACTCACCCCCTTCTCCCATCGCCCCTGTTGGACGGTGCAGTGTTGCAGGCTACTCTGCGGAACGAAGTGCATGTAGACGCCGGGGCCAGACGGGGCCGCCTCATTCAGCTTCGCCTGCGGCCACTCCGTGTGGAGCGTGAGCGAGAAACCAAATTCCTCCCTCGCCGTCGACTCCGTCCGGCTCACCACGACGAGCAGGTTGCTCGTTCCTGCGGGACAATCAAAACTCAGCGTGTGCTCCGACATGTTCTTGTAGGAAACGTCGTGCAGCGGCGCAAACCCCGCCTCCAACTCCGTTCCATGCGCAAGGCGACGACAGTAGCACTTCTCGAAGCTGCAGACGGCGCCCAGATGCTGTGCGATGGAGGGATACGGCGTCACGTCGTAGACCTTCACTGCCACATACGGCACTCTTGGGTCATCCTTCACAAATTGCAACCCAAACTCCTCCACGTTCTTGACGTGACGCGCAAAGACGAGGTGCATGCGGGACGGCCGTGGCGCGTTAATCACGCCAACGTGGAACTGCGGCGTCTGGCCCGTGCTCGTGGTATACGGAAAGCGCCTGTGACAGGAGAGCCGCGTTGGCCGCCGCGACATCCCCTCTGGAGTCTTGTAGAGCATGTAGGGGTTCCAGCTGAGGCAGCAGCGCGAAAAGTGGGCGCAGAGGTCGCCCCACGTTATCCAAAACACGCCTTGCTCCGCCAGCGCCTTCGTGTACTGCAGCTGCGCTAAGAGCGCCCTCGCCGCCGCCCGCTTGTCGCTGAGCGAGTACGCCCCCGCCCAGGACTCGCGCCCCCATGGGTTTTTGAGCTGTAGGAGACGCTCCCCGCCAACCTCCCGCAGCGCCAGCACGGCGTAGGCGTGGGAGGAGACAAGTCTCAAACGCCGCTCCTCCGCCTCCGGCAGCGCCGCGGTACTCGCCGTCATGAGAAGCGAGCCGTCGCCGTGTCGCCTGGAGAGCCGCGTCCACTGAAGCTCGGGGTCGAGGTCCTTGGATTCCAGTGAAACACGGTCCGGGAGCCACCCAGAGAGCTTGTAGAGGTCGCTGCTGCTGCTGCTCCCCGGGAACTCGTAGCTGCCGCCGCAGAGCTTCACAAACGCCTTCTCCATGACCGACACCCACAGCTCCGTCTCGTCGTTGCTATAGGTGCAGAGCAGCCGCCCGGTGTGGGGGGACGCGGGAAAGCGGTCGTCAACGGTAATAAGACGGGTTATGCCGTTGATGAGCATCTTCACACAGTACTTCCCTTTGGGGTTGATCACGGGGTCGCCGTTGTTGTCCTGCGGGTAAATCACGTTGCTGATGATCTTCCCCTTGGGGAACCGCTGCTGGTACGCGGCGCAGATAATGAGGCTGCACACCATCGAGCAGTCCCCCACCACGGTCTGCTTCACGCTCAGTGGGTCGGCGCGGCTAATGATGCAAAGCTCCACGTTCGGCTTGATTTCGCCAATGCGAAGATACTGCGCCCCTTCCGCCCGCTGCGACGCCGCGAGACGTGGCGTGAAGGGGTCCTCCCAGTGGCCCTCGCACGGCATAAAGACATTTTCTCTGGCGTACCCCTCCTGCACATCATCCCACATCGGCAGCCGAATCGTCTCAGTGAATCCCGAGCGCCGCAGCACCTCCATCTCCGCCGGAAGCACCGGGTTGTCCTGCAGGAATCGCGGCTTGAAGTGTTCGTAGTACTTGCGCCGCAAAAGAACAAGGTGTTCCTCAATCCGGTAAAAGTTGCCGGGCTTGTTGCGCTCCCTGCTCCCCATATCATATGCATGCTGCAGCACGTCCAGCGACTGCTTGTACTTTTGCTGCTGCAGCAGAATGGCGGAGATGTCTATGGCCTTCTTCACGGTGTCGGAGACACGTGCGGCGGAAAACGCCGCCAACGGGTAGTCCGGTCGCCGCGGCTGCGGCTGCGGCTGCGGCTTTTGTGGCTGCAGCGGTACTGGCGTCGCCGCGTGCGCAGGAGCGGGCGGTGAATGAGCGGCGGGGTCCGCCTTGGGCCCCTCATGCGGCCCTGGCGGCGGCGTTTGCCGTCCCGAGTCCTGCGGCCGCTCCTGCGCACGCAGCCCCCGCCGCCGCTCCTCCTCGGCCCTCGCCACGCCACGAAGCCGCTGGAGGTGGAGCGCAGCGTCCTGCAGGTGGTCCGTGAGCACCTGCTGCTGCGTGTTGCCCAGCGACTTCTCCTGCAGCGCCCCGCGGAGGCGGTGAATCGCCAGCGTGAGCCACTCCTCCGCCTCCCGCAGCCTCCCCTGCCGCTCGAGCAGCAGGGCGTTCTGGACGCACGCCAGGGCCTCCATGCTCATTGCGCCTCCGCCCCTCCTGCTCTCCCCGCACACGCGGTCGGCTAACTTCTGCCTCTGGGGCGCGGCCCGTCGCTCACGGGTCCCTCCCAGAGAGAACAGGGCGGGGGGGAAAAAAAGAGAAATGGAAAAAAAAAAGGCCAGCGGCACGGGGCGACAGCGAGAAGTGCACACGTTCAACTGCGCCAAATCTGGCCCCTTTCATTCCTTCTCGCCCTCCCCTTCTCCCCGAGCACGGGGACGCGCTCCTCGTTCGCGCGCGTGCGCGCTCTCTCCTCTCCTCTTCTTTTTTCTTCTCACTTCGCGCCCACTCCCGCTCGCTGCTTCGCTTTACTCCACGTCAAGCGCCCTGTGAATGACGGGGAACACGGCATCGTCCACAAGCGGCTGCCCGGGCTTGTAGCTGTGCAGCGGCCCGTGCGAGTCCCGCGAGGCCCACGAGTTGCGCAGGCCATCAAAGACGCAGCGGTCAGGCATGAGGGTCATGGAGTATTGATAGGGGCAGTTGACGGTGCGGGCCGAGGGCGGGGTGTAATTTGCCGCCCCGCCGCACATCGTTGGCTGCACCGCGCTCAGCGTGTAGTGGTTTGTGAAGACGACGCTGCCGGGCTCAAGCGGCTCCAGCTGCACCACCGGCAGCTCCCGCAGCGGCGCAATGTTGCGTATCGCCCGCCCCATGTCGAACACGCCGCCGGCGCGGTAGCGGCTAAAGTCGCGGCCGTCGTCCGTGAACTCCCGCATGACGTGGTGGGAGCCGGGGATGACGAGCGCCGGCGCCTGCCCCGCGGCCAGCCCCACGGACACCGTCATGCCGCTTCTGCTCCGGAAGTTCGTGGCGCTGCCGACGAAGTGAAACGGCGTGCTGTTGAGGAACGGGTGGTAGTCGTGCACGGCGTCGTCGAAGAGGCGAACGACGACGTCCCCCGCCAACGCCGCCGCGGCCTCGCCGACGGCGGTGCCCAACGCCCCGTCAGCCCCCGGCAGCAGCAGCCGCTGCAGCGCCGGCGAGTCCGGCCACACGCGGCACCAGCACTTGGACCAGTTCTGCAGGTGCTCCAGCGCGCGGTCGAGGTGGTACTCGCGCCGCACCTCCATCTCCATCTTCCCGCTGCCGCGGTAGCGCTCGAAGCTCGCCCGCACGTCCTCGTAGGTGTGCTCGCCGCCCAGCTCCCGCATGCGCGCGTCGCTCATCCGCCCGGCGCGCTCCTCCTCCTCGCCCACGCAGTTCTTCACGTACTTGAACCGCATGTACTTCGCCCGCACCGCCGCCAGCCTCGCGTAGACGCGGTCCACCTCGCGCGTGTTGCGGCACTTGAGCAGCACCTTGCGGTACCGCCGCTCCAGCGCCCGCGCCTCGTCCTGCCGCCGCAGCTGCGCCTGAATCTCCGGCGGGGGCGCCTGCGCGCCCAAATTGGCCGTCGGCTTTGGCTCCATCCGGGCGTCGAAGTCGATGCGGCCGTTGTGTTCCTCGTCGACGCCGGGGAACACGCGCGCCCCACGCGCCTCTGCCACGTCGCGGCAGGCACGCGCGAGCGCGGCGACGAGGCTCTCCGGAAGCAGGCCGCGCGCCACCACCACCCCGAGCTGTCGGTACGTCCGGATGCCGGCGGGGGACAGCAGCCCGGCGCGGCCGTTCACGTACAACTGCGCCTGCATGATTCCCTCGGCAGGCAAAACGGCGCACCTAAAGGCACACACGCACATATATATATATACATACATGAGTGTGTGTGCGTGTGTATGTGTGTGGAGGGAAGGCGCCGAGGGGGAAAAGGGGGGCAACCGCAGCGTGCATGCCACAGCCGCAGCAGATGAATACACTCACGCAGCTCGGGGCCCACAAAGGCAGGATCAGAATAATAATAATAATACCAGGTGGCTCACTCTCTCAACTCCGTGCACACCAACTCCCGCTCTCTTCCTCTCTTCCTCCCTTCCTCTCTCTCTTCTAGAGGCACTGTCGATAGCAAAACAATTATATATATAACCGTCAGACACCAGCCAGCCGTGCACGCGCAGCAGCAGCAGCAGGGGCCGCCCTCAGAGGGGAAGTGGCGACACCACCGCCACCGCCACTTCGCGCGCCTCGCCGCCCAACGATGCGTAGGCCCGACGCGCCTGGCGGCAGTATATAATTCCGCCGGCGCCGTCGTCCTCCTGCAGCGATTGCACGCACACCTCCGCCTGCGCGTCCGTGGGGAAGAGCACCCGGCAACGCAGCGCCAACGCCTTCGCGCTGTTCAGTAAAATGCGGCTCCCAAGCGCCAGGTGCGAGGCGCCAAAGGCCGCGGCGTGCATCAAGAGATCCACCTCAAGTGCCAGCACAAACATTGTGCGTTGTGTGGCGGGCGCCTCCCACAGCACGGCGCCGGTGGCGCGCTCAAACAGGCAGCGCACCTGCACACACGCCGTACCCGAGACTTCAGCCAGCCCACACGCATGCGGCAGCGACAGCAGGTGGCGTGCGGCAGGCAACTCTGCGGCGGAAACGAAGTCGTCAATTTCCCGTGCACGGGCGGGGTCGTCGCACGCCACAAATAAGCTCGCGCGCAGCCCGTCGGCCTCAACGGCAACGTCGACGGCCGCGCGGCCCCGCCCAGAGGAAGCCGCAAAGTCGCTGAGTAGGGCGTCACGCAGCAGCCCGGCGCAAACCGCATGCCATCCCCTGCCAGCGAGCCAGCGCGTGTGGCGCGAGAAGAGCTCCACGTCTGGCGGCACCGCACCCACGCTCACTTCTGCTGCCGCTTCCTCGAATGCCGTGAGGCGCCCGCGCTCTTCCTCCCACACTGCCAGCGGCGCTGCTGGCGGCGGGCGCGGGGTCGACGGCGGCTCCTCCTCCTCAGTCAGCCCCACCTCAAGCCCCCGCAGCCGCTCAGGACGGTCCGCTCGCAGCCCACCCGTCGTCTCGGT